CTATAGCAGATTTTACCTTTTAAGGAAAAAACTAAAAAAAAATAAACTTAACTAAAATATATATATTTAAGAAATATAAAACGGCGCGCGTGTCTCTGTCCTCTGATATAAACACGGTCGTCAGCAAATCAGAGCGCGCGTTATATATCAAAAATTTTATAAATATATATATTTGTGTTTCGACTGCATTGATATCCATGTAGCAGCTTGAATGATTCATTTTTTTAAATGATGTAAAATAACATATTATCAAGAATAACTTACGATGATACATACATATTTCTGTATCAATGAACAGTATTGCATGCTGAAAAGTCAACCACACAAGAAAGAAATCTGCAGAAGAGCGAAATCAAAGCACAGAGATTCCCGCCAACTTGGTCATAACTACTATGACGCGTTTGCACATCCGGGAAATCGATAAGCAAATTATTTTCAAGCGCTTTGAGTCTCACTTTTTCGAATGGGAAAAAAATTACTGGAAGACTTGAGTAACCACAAAAGTAGAGCAGCTTTCAAAACGTTTTGATCATACTTAATATATCAGTAAGGAGCTATGTGTTAATTGATGAAAAATAAAGCTCCGTTTTCATTGATCAGCTAGTCTCAGCCGTTATGAGGCTCGTTCCCCGGCCAGGTCTCTTCCCCTAGCGCATTATGGGAGAGAGACCAGGGAATGAGTCTCACGCCCCTACGCCCGTTGAGAGAGGAGTCTATAGATCAGCACAAAGTGGCTAAGTGCGGGTTCCCTGTGCTTTTTAGTTTTGGGCTTCCTTTAGCGAATCCATGCCATATATGGAAACAAACAAAATGTCCGATTGTTGAAAAGTGTTTTCGCTATAGTATCTGCAAGTTTCAGACGATTTCAAGCTTTAAAAGTCAAGAAAATCGACAAAACCCATTCCTATCGTACTTCCAAATAAGGTAAGATTACCATATATGGCTGCTAAACGAAGGACAACTTTTGTGGGGCAATTCTTTGATATGGAAATTAGGATCTCACTTTATTCATGCGAAATATCAATAATTYAAATGAATGTCAAAAACAGAACACAATGGTTGTAATAGTAAGAAACTAAGACATGTTATTTCCAGTGTTTATGATCGCCACAGTTGAACACGTTGATTGCCCCATTCAAGTACGAACATTCAAGTACGAAGACTTTACCATCTGGTGCAACGGCAATGTCAGATGGGGCATTCATTTCACCAAGACCTGAACCATGCTTACCAAAGAACCTTATGAAATGACCGTCTTGATTCAACATCTGAAYTCGGTGGTTATCATCATCACAAACAAGGATTACATCATAATAACAAGACGGCCAAATTTTCCATTTCCAGTACCTCTATCTCCACATTTAGAAAAAAACATATACCATTTCTATCATAAACACAGAGGTGGTGTTGATATGGATATGATACGAAGTATTTACCGCTACCATAAGCAATATATAGAGGATATTACGAGTGAGAGATTTTCAACACGAGAAGATAAAATTTGTATCTCCAAGCGACCATGTAATATTCTGTTTATCATATAATTGTATATGAAAGCAAATTATATCGTAAAATATCTTTTTTCTTACTTCCACTAAATAAAGAAAACTCGAATGTGTTATTTTCACTAGTGATATTGGAAATGGACAATTTGGCCGTGCACGTGGTCTTGTTACTATGATGTAATCCTTGTTGATATCGTCACCCATGTCTCCATGGCAACCAGTTTTTGACAAATAGGTTTTCAAAAATGTTAAATGTTTTTAATAATTTTAAAGGGCTACTTGGATGAAAAATGGCGAAACACTGGAAAAGGCACGAAATTCTTGTAGACTTATCAATAAATATCCTATAATCACGAAGCAATGTATTTTGACAAGATATTGATACAATTTCTTAGGAATTTTGTCAAAAGATTTTGGAGTATATGACGTCATATACTCCATCCTTTTGTTTTATCTTCGTTTGAGTCAAAAACATTTCTGCTTTGGAATGACTCCATAACAAAACTTTTCTCTGAGAAAATATTATAGGTATAATATATTTGAATTACACAGGATTCTGAAATTAGTGCTTCTTCGTGCAAGTAGCACTTAAAAGCTTATTTGTTTAGTATGCATCCAGTTTTTCCTATTTGAGCGGGGTCATTCGGCCCCTCAATATCTTAGGAACCAAAGGTCTATGAGCATGGAATTTTCACACAATGGTCGCTCAAGAACCACCACACCCAGTCTTGACCCGTGATAGCCAAATGTGACGTCATAATGACGTCATTTATACCATTTTAACGATAATAATAATATAATAATAATATGAAAACTTGTATACGCATATACAAGTCTGTTCTATGCGCACTGGTATAACAAAAATTACAAACAAGTTAACAGTTAATAGTAAATAGTTAATTAATTTAACGATTTATAATACATTTTAATACATTGCCTACAATGGCATAGAGAATACTGCAATATCAGGGTTAAGATAAGGCAGTTTTCCTCTGTAAAAGAGTATAATAGCGATGTAATGAAATCAGAAATATTTTGTTTTATGAGTTCTCTACGAGCTGTTATTCTCCGTATATAACTACAACAGTTCGCTGTTGTTTTGTTTCAAAAGTTTTTTTTTTTCTTCGAATATTTAAGTAGTTAGTCTGACCGAGTTGTCATAGCAATGGATTACGTGKAGGATAAAAATACCTGCTTCCGGGAATTTTAAACAATCAATGCAATATGGCGGAACTTAATGTGTTCGCTAACAAACTTCAAAAAGAACTCACTTGTTCCATATGCAAGGAGATTTTTACCAACCCAAGGACGTTGAAATGTCTACACAGTTTCTGCATGAATTGTATTTCCAACTGGAACAGGTCGTGCAGAAGACAACATCAAAACCTACGTTGTCCTTCATGTAGATCAATCGARAGACTCGRAGGGAATGACGTKTCTARTCTTCCTTCTTCCTTTCACTTACAGCCGCARTTGCAGCTTCTTCACGAAATGAGAATTGCTGCCGATAYAAAAGCCSAGCAAGAACTGTCAGACTGTGTCTGTTGCAAGAAACAATCTAAACTCGTGGCATTCTGTCCGCGATATCAAGGTCTGATTTGCACTGCATGCGTGACCGTTCATCAAACCTCGACGCCCGTAGACGAGAAACAACAGCCAACGATGTTCAGATGTGATTTAATGAARCAAGATGCCAATAGTTACATCCGAAACTGCTTGTATTGCCAGGAAAGGTACTGTTCAACATGTAACGAATGTATTTGTAGTATTTGTAATGAAGCAAGACATAAAGTACATCACACAGYTACCTTGAATGAGGTCGCAGAAGAAGTTAAAGTGTTCATAAAGAGGGATATGGATCGAGTGAATAATGTGAAAGAAAAATTCGAAGAAGAACTTAGATTCTCTAAAAAAAATATCGAGCGTATTGAGCAAGAAATTAATGCAGCAATAAAGAAAGTCAACGATGAAGTACAGAAACACATCAAAGTATTAAGAGATCGTAAAGCAGAAGTGATCGAGATCCTGAAGACAAAACTTCAWSASCAGAAAACACAAAATGACGAGGAACAAACGCAGATTCGAGAGGTAATYGAAAGCATCTCTGAATTTTACATTCAAGGTCAAACATTACTTGATGAAAATGTCGCACATTTTATTGTTAAAAGCCAGCAGGRTCGTTCTCAAAGATGTGAAGCGTTTCTTGGAAAAACMTTGATATTKCCCACTCGACCAATTCAGCGTTACGCAAGTGTACGTTTTATAACAAACGATCAGGTCGCTCAGTGCTTGAAAAATATYGGAAAAGTTGTTGAGAGCGTAACAGATCCGTCATGTTGTTTCATTGAAAGACTGGAAGACWTCGAGTGCGGTTTTGTTAATAGTTTTAATGTCGTCAATCCACAAAACGAGCATTGCGTGACAGGCATTGATCTCATTGATGTCCAAATCAAAGATGGCGATCACCTCAATGTAGAGAAGGAAGTGTGTCAGAGTGAAACTGGAAGATACACCGTGACGTACCGAGCAGAGAAATCATGTAATTACACAATCCATGTGAGAATCAATGGACAAGAAATCAAGAACTCACCACAGACTGTGAAGGYACGTGATATTCGTCGAGAGTTTAAACCTGTGAAGATCTTTGGAGGTACAGGATGCGTGGATGGACAGTTGTCGTTACGTCTTCCGCGGTCACTGGCAGTAAGTGATAGGGGAGAGGTAGCTGTAATTGCTGACATGGCTAAACATCGCATTGTGATATTCAGTGTTGATGGAGAGTATTTGAGACATTTTGGAGAAGAAGGAACCAGAGAAGGTCAGCTTAGTAATCCGTTTGGCATTGTATTCAATAAAGACCGTTTACTTGTTACAGATAACAACATTGATGATACCGGTCGGTTACAAGAGTTCCACTTAAATGGTACTTATTGTAGAACTATTTACAAGCAACGTGGCGTTGAACTGCAAGGAATGTGTATAAAAGATGAAACCATTGCAATATGTTTTAAAGACCAAATCGGACAGAGCCAGTCAGGAATAAAACTTATAAATAAAAAATCAGGCCAACTAATGCAAGAAATTCATTGTGTTGACCGAGGTGAAACAATACAATGCATGGCCTATGGCAATGGTAAATACTTTGTATTATATCCAGGCAAAGACTGCATCTGTTTTTGATAGAAATGGATTATTTTTGTACACATTTGGAGAGAAAGGTAATGGAGACGGGCAGTTTGACCGTCCTCGTGGTCTCGCTGTTAAAAATGGTGCAATCTTTGTTTGTGATGATAACGATAGAGTTCAGACATTKAGTCAAGATGGTGAATTTGTAAGGTCCTTTGGTAAGCATGGTTCAGGTCTTGGTGAAATGAATGGCCCATCTGACATAGCCGTTGCACCAGATGGTAAAGTCTTCGTACTTGAATGGGGCAATCAACGTGTCCATGTATGGCGATCATAAACACTGGAAATAACATGTCTTAGTTTCGTACAATAACAATTAACACTTTTTTTTTCTGTTTTTGACATTTCATTGGAATTAGTCAATAATGCGCATGAATAAAGTGAGATCCTGATTCCAGATCCGGTACGACACCATATTTAGCGATTTCTTAACACAATAGATGAGGTGACGGTTTTGTCCGCCATTTTGGACCGGTAGGCATAGTGTCGCAAAATAACAAGGAATGACCGGGAAATCGATGTCAAATAATTCTCGCTGAATTCAAATTCAGAAAGAATTATCATTTGCAAACGTTAGATACTGCAAAAAGAAGTTAACTGGCCAAATTTGAAAGGCGTACTTGATCTAGAGAGCGAGTAAACTCATCGGGGTCATCAGTGCGTGACGCGCGTGAAAAATACAAAGAAATGTATTGAGAACTAAAAATAAATTTTCTCGCTCCCTAGACGAAGCACATCCTTCAAATTTGGCCAGTCAGCTCCTTTTTGTAGTATCTAACGTTTGCAATTGATAATTCTTTCTGAATTTGAATTCAGCGAGAATTATTTGACATCGATTTCCCGGTCATTCCTTGTTATTTTGCGACACTATGCCTACCGGTCCAAAATGGCGGACAAAACCGTCACCTCATCTATAAAAGCTTAAGTTTGCCGGTCTGTTTTTTTCCCTTAAAACGGCAAATCTGACCATAATAGATAAACTGTTAGTCGAAGGCCCAAGGGTTGCGTTTCGGTTCCCAAATGGTTTCTCTAACATCCCCACCCAATTTTAAAGCCCCTCTCCCCTCCCCTAGKTCTAATTCATATTTTATAGTTGTTGTTTTTGCTTTGATGATGATTTCACATGCGGTCTGSGATAAATTCTTCTGAACCTTGTGAAGTCAAGCCTTGAAGATAGACCCTTACACAGTTAAACATTTCCATTTTAATGGTTCTCTAAAATAATATAAAGTCGAAGCAGTATGTCGCTGTTATTTTGTTAATATTGTCCTAAACGGTATATTTGTAGTTAGGGATTCAAGAATGTGCCTTGATAAATTGAGATGTGACCTCATAGATGCCAACAGATGCTTCTGCCTTCTCATCGTAATCAGACCAGTCCTGCAAAAGAACATTAACTCTTTGTAATATATAAAATATGAGCGGGAGATCTTTATAGGC